CCGGGCGTCGGGGGCGGGGCGTCTTTACTCGCCGGCGGCCAATCCCGGCCCGGGCGGGTTGCGCAACTCCGCGGTGGGGGCTGGAGAAGGGGCTCTTTCCTCCTCCCGCCTGCTCCTCCCTCCTCGTCTTCTCCTCTGTCTCCCTCTTCCCTTCTCCTCTCTTCTTCCTCCTCCTCCCCTTCCTCTCAACGCGCTCCTCGTTCTCCCACTCCCCCAACTGCTCCTTTCCATTTCCTCCCTCCAACCCCTGTGTCTCCTTTCCCTCCTTCTTCTCTATTCCCTCTCCCTCCTCCCGCTCCTTGTTTCTCCCTCCTCCCCATTCCCTCCTCCTCAAGCTCTCTTCTTCCCCCTCCTCACTCCTCCCTCCCCTCCTCCTCTATTCCCTTCTCCCTGCTTCCTCTTCCCTCCCCTTCCTTGCATCTTCCTCCTCCTCCTTTTCCCTCCCTCCTCCCTCCCCCACTAGGCTGCGGAGCTCCACAGCCCCACAGGGGACCTCCGGGTGGGTGACTCAATGCACCAAACCAAAGGAGACTGCCCCCCGCCCCCAGTGTTCGGCTCCAAGGTTTCTAGGTGAGGAGGAATTGGAAAGAATTAAGCGTTTCCAATTGGAGAGGGTAGAAAGTGGATTGCTTCCAAAACGCTGAGGGGGAATCACTGTTTACTTTGTATTCTGGTTATTTGCATTCAGGTCTTATCTCGCCCTTTGGGTCCCCTGAGAGCAAGAGATGACTCATTCTGTCTTCTTCCTCCCCTCTCTGGCTCACTCATTCGTTCCCTCCTCCAGTCCTTCCACAAAGACCAGTTACAGTGTCAAGGCAGGTAAAAACGGGGGACCCTGGAGACCGGGCTCTTGAATTGTATACTGTGCTGCCACTCTCTAACTGTGGGCCCTCGGGCAAGCCTCAGAAACTCTCTGAGATTACTTTCCTCGAAGGGAATAATAATAGTACTGACCCCGTAGGTTTGTTTTATGGTTTAAGTGAAATGACACATGTAAACAAATATGTTAGATATTCAATAAAAGGTCATTGTTGTCGGTCATTAAGTAATTAAAATAAATCCTAAATAGAAACCCAAAAGGTCAGGGATCATGTCCAATTAATAATAAAATTCTTCGGTGGCGCAAGCGGTTAAGTGCACGCGCTCCGCTGCGCAGGCCCTGGGTTCGCCAGTTCGGATCCCAGGCGTCCACCTCTGCACCGCTTGTTAAGGCATGCTGTGGCGGTGTCGCATATAAAGTAGAGGAAGATGGGCACGGATGTTAGCCCGAGGCCAGTCTTCCTCAGAAAAAAGAGGAGGATTGGCAGATGTTAGCACAGGGCTGATCATCCTCACAAAAAATAAATAAATAAAATGAAATTCTCAGTGGCAAACAACATCAATCAATCAGTGGATGGGTAAATGCGTGGGTGGATGGGCCCCCATTTTCAGGAAAATGGAGCAGCTGTTGCTATAAATAAAAAGACAAAAACAAAGAAATTAGAATTTGATGCAGCCTGAAGCAGTTCCTGCCTTACTCCTTGATAAAGGTGATGAGACAGTTGGCCATTAGAAAGAAAAACAAACAAGGATGGATCCATATCTCACACCATTGATCAGATAAATTCCAAAAGGGTCAAAGATTTAAATATAGACAAAAGAAGCCACAAAAGTTCCAAAAGAAAACATGGGAAGCACCCTTTGGAAGTCTGGAATGGGAAAGGCCTTTCTAACTATGACTCAAAATCCAGAAGCCATAAAAAAGATGGATGCATTCAAATATATATAAAATCTTCAAGGGAGAAAAAAACATATCACCTCATGCAAAGTGTAAAAACAAGAGACAAAGCAATGAAAATTATTTGCAACTCAAATCACAAAGAATTAGTCTTGCTGACTTATAGAGAAGCCAACCTAAAAAAAACAAAAGTAGAATGGGTACAGGATACCACCAGACAGATCAAATGGCTTTTTTTTTTTTTTTTGAGGAAGATCAGCCCTGAGCTAACATCCATGCGAATCCTCCTCTTTTCGCTGAGGAAGACCAGCTCTGAGCTAACATCTATTGCCAATCCTCCTCCTTTTTTTTTCCCCAAAGCCCCAGTAGATAGTTGTATGTCACAGCTGCACATCTTTCTAGTTGCTGTATGTGGGACGCGTCCTCAGCATGGCCAGAGAGGCAGTGCATCAGTGCACACCTGGGATCCGAACCCCGGGCCACCAGTAGCGGAGCGCACGCACTTAACCGCTAAGCCACAGGGCCAGCCCCTCAAATGGCTCTTAAACATATGAAAAGATGTTCAATCTCAACCCGTAATAAGAGAAATGAAAATTAAAGCAGGACTGAGATATCTTATAAAATAATTTAGCAGGTTGGCAAAAATCAAAGTTTGACAAGCCTGCTTTCCTGGTGAAGCTATGAAGACCCAGGCCCTCTGGTACATGGCCGCTGGGAGTGCAAGTTGGCACAACCCCCTCTGGACGCCATGTGGCAATATCTAGCAAATTTACAAATCTATGTGCTCTGGACCAGTCAGTTTCCCCTAGAGGTCAGTGGTGCCCAGTGCTGGCTGGACAGTGAATCGCCAGGATGCCCTGGCCCCACGCTCAGAGGCTGATGTAGTTGATCAGAGGCATGGCCTGGGTGTTGGGATTTTTTAAGGCCCCCCACGTGATTCTCATGTGCAGCTCGGGCTGAGAGTGACTGCTATAGACACACTCACGTGTTTGCGAAATATATTCAAGGTTATTCATTGAGCTTTATTTCTAGCAGCAGAAAGTTAGGAATAACCTGAACGCCCATCAATAGGGAGCTGGACGTATAGATAATGATGCAGGTCTGCTGTGGACAACTAGGCAGCTGTGAAAGAAGGAGAGAGGACCTTTTAAGTACTGATGTGGAGCATTCTACAAGCTACAGCATGAACAAACAAAGCAAGGTAGAGAACAGCGTGTTCAGAACACCGTCTGGTGTTGCTACCTTTTGGGTAAAGGAAGGGGTGTAAATAGATATTTGGATTTGTTTATATGTGCATAAAGACCTATGGAAGAGAACCCAAGGAAAAAATAACTGTTGTACCCATGGTGGGGGTGAGGTAGAAAGCCAGGCACAAGGGAAGGGAGGGGATTTCACCATAACATTCTAGTCTATTCTATTCCATTTTTTAAGTGTGTGAATGCATCATCTATTCAGAATACTAAGTAACAACAACAAGTGGCTCCCGTCCTGAATTTGACTCCCAGGGTCAGCGCTGCTGGAGGAAGACCTTGAATGCATTTCTCCCTTAACTGTTGTTCTCCTTGTGTTGGTTGTTGCTGTCGCCCTCTACTGGACTGAAAATGTAAAGTGTTGGTTTTAAAGAGAACTCTGTTTTTGAGCACCCTGAGGTCAACTTGCCCAGCTGAGGCAGAAAAATAAACTGCACCAGAAATAAAGACTGTGTAAATATTTGTTTAAATTGAAATCCACACAATATAAAAATCAATCTAATTCCATTAATGTTTCGTTGGAAGAGAAATCAGGGCCGGCCCCGTGGCTTAGTGGTTAAGTGCGCGCGCTCTGCTACTGACAGCCTGGGTTCGGATCCCAGGCGCGCACCAATGCACTGCTTCTCCGGTCATGCTGAGGCCGCGTCCCACATACAGCAACTAGAAGGATGTGCAGCTATGACCTACAACTATCTACTGGGGCTTGGGGGGAAAAATAAATAAACAAATAAAAATTAAAAAAAAAATAGAAGAGAAATCAAATCAAAATATTTGACACTGGGGCCGGCCCCGTGGCTTAGCGGTTAAGTGTGCGTGCTCCGCTGCTGGCAGCCCAGGTTCGGATCCCCGGCACGCACAAACGCACCGCTTCTCCGGCCATGCTGGGGCCGTGTCCCACATAGAGCAACTGGAAGGATGTGCAGCTATGACATACAACTATCTACTGGGGCTTTGGGGGAAAAAATAAAATAAATAAATAAAATTAAAATTATAAAAAAAAAATTTTGACACTTACTAATGTGCTAGGTACTGTGTCAAGAATCGGGGGAGTGGTGTAAATCCATTCCTTCCTTCCTTAGTTCGTCCATTCATTCATTCTGGCTCTGGGCCTATTATGTGTTCCAGGGAATGACAAACTCTCTTGCCTGTAGGGGGCAGGCACATAATGTAAATGAGCCAAGCACACAGCCTGTAGGAAAAATTTTTCTGGAGGTGATTCTCTGGTCTGCCCTCCTCTGGGTGTCAGTTTCATCTTCAGAGCTGACGTCTAAAGGGGACCACTGGTCAGGCCGGCCCCGTGGCTTAGCGGTTAGGTGCGTGCACTCCGCTACTGGCGGCCCGGGTTCGGATCCCGGCCACGCACCGACGCACTGCTTCTCCTGCCATGCTGAGGCCGCATCCCACATACAGCAAGTAGAAGGATGTGCAACTATGACATACAACTATCTACTGGGGCTTTGGGGAAAAAGAGGAGGAGGATTGGCAATAGATGTTAGCTCAGAGCCGGTCTTCCTCAGCAAAAAGAGGAGGATTAGCATGGATGTTAGCTCAGGGCTGATCTTCCTCACAAAAAATAAAAAAAATAAAAATAAAGGGGACCACTGGTTCTCAGCTCCCCCTGGTTGCCATGCAGGAATCTTAGCATGATGGTGCCAAGCCTTACAACTGTCTAAGAAAATCAAAAAATTGGGATCTCTTTGTGAAATCTCTTGATTCTTAAACTTTGGCAATAAAAATGTTACATACAAGAGCTGCCTGTGTGCAAATTTGAACTGGACAGTTTCTATTTTGCCTTCCTTTGGGCATCAGTTTCATCTTCAG